AGTGAACGCGATTTTGATTCTCAATAAAAATTTTGTTTTTTATCGCAACCCTTAGTTTTCTATGGTACAGTGATGTGAACGATGTAAACAAACGGTTGTCGTCTTTCGTTTTTGCCAAAACAATTGAAAATAAGAGGTACGTATCTTTCAATTCAATATTTATAGAGCGTACATCAATACGTCATCATACCGGGAATGCGTTTCTAAACTTGGGAAATTGAAATATAAGTTTTGTAGTACTTTATAGCAAATAGTAATCTCAAATATTTTACAATAATAAAACCAAACATGATGTCAAAGATTACTGCGATCTAAAAAAGGCACGCTTATTTAAAAAAGTCATTTCGGGAACGGTCATTTCGGGACCGTTTCCGAAGTTGACGGAGGGTTCTCGAAATGATGATGACGTTCCCGAAATGACTTTTTAAATAAACGCACCCTGTTATTATTACTAACGGTTAATCAATTCAGTGTATGTTGTGCTAACATATTGTTTAATATATGTTTAATGTTATTTAGCAATATGGAGTCTCATATGGCTGAAAAAAATAAAGAAACGTCCGAGATAGCAAGTTAATAAGAATAGTTCGGCTTACTTGCGACAATGGGAGAATCCAATGCCAGGAAAAAATATTTTTTAGATAAGATGATGGTGAAAGAGAGAGAAATAAAAAGGGCTAAGGATAGAGCCTATTTTTAGAAAAAAAGCTGTAGAGAAAGTTAAAAACATTGATAAAATCAATGAGAGAGTAAAGCAAAATAAAAAATTGGGAAAGGGGCATTAGAAAAATACAGGGAAGAAAGGAAGGCAATATCAGGTATAGTAAACACTACTTTGCCAGATTCGAATGATGAATTAAATGCAGAACGGTTTTTTTTTTAAACAACGGAAAGAAAAATTGTTCGGAAGGATAGAGTCAAAGCATAAAATAAAACAACAAGAGAAAACAATTCCTAACATAAAATGTAAATATAAAACTTTAAAGAAAAGACTAAGAAGATAAGAAAAAAAAAAGAACAGGAAATAGTTCAGGTACCAACAACGACTCCTAACAGCAAAGTTGACGCATTGATTTAAAATGTCATAGAACCACCTAAAGTACGCAAAAATCTCTTATTCAACGAAGTACTGACAGCGCAATTAAAAGAAAAGGCCTTTTATGACAAGATTTTATGAAAAAATTCCAAAGAGAGGGAAGTCTTCCAAAAATGTGTTAGCGATAGCAAAGAAATATAAACTGATTCGTATGGCTAAGACTTTTATGCCAAAGAATGAACCAGTACATTGATTCTGAAGACCGATATCAAAATTCGTGTATATAATGACTAAAAAATAATAAGTATAATGTTTAGATGGTTTGATTTATTTACATTGGAATAAAAGATTATTGCCATTGTAATAAAAGTTTAATATGATTATTAAAACTTTCTAATCAGCTGTGTACAGGTTATTAAAAGACTGTAAAGTGTTTTAAGTTGCGATTTTTGATAATTAGGAACCTTATGCAAAAATGAATAAATAAGTACGATGTTCCAAAAACATTGCTCATGATTTTTAACCCTAAATTGTATCTATATCGTCCTTTAAGGAACACACGCATCATTCCGTGAACACCTCATCCCTTCCGGGAACATCACCAAACTCGCAGATAATACATGATTATTTTAGATATTTTAAAAAAAGCTCTAATAATATTAAAATATGACGAACTTCTCACACCTAGACCATGTTAATTAATATACAAGACACATCTATTTCTCATATTTAGATAATTTAGACTAAAAAATAGTCATAATATCACCCATTTGCACAATATTTTGCTTTCTAACGTCTTTATTGGCAATTTCATTAGATTTCTTTAATTTCTATGTATAGGTAACATATATCCGCTATTGAATAAGGAAAAAAATAAATACTTATGTTATATTTTAATATTATTATAAACCTTACAAAAACGTTCCCGTAATGATTTTTTTCAGCGATAGGTCTCTATAAAAATAAAATTACAAGAGTTGTAATCAATTCCATGCTCTGCCAACGTAAATATTGTTAAAACATAAGTTTATGGATCATTTAGGCTGATCATCAAAATAATAGCTGCTAGGTAAATTCATCATAAAACAGAACTTGGAATTTGCCACCTTGGTGATTTTGAGCCACCTACATTAAAATATAATTTTTGAAATGTATGCACCGTACAATAACAATACACGTTAAACATCATACCACAGAGTCATACGCAAGTTAAAAACAAACTGCTATGATATTAATGAGAAAGGAAAATCAACTTTATGGTATTCGAGTTAGGGTTGATTTCTCTCTTTTTTTTAAATACTATTTTAATCTTACCAGTTGCCAGTATTCGAAGACAGCTACGATTTGTACTCGATATTTTAAATTATTATGTAATCGATTTTTCAGTACAAATGTAAATAACCAACGACACTAATAATGTACTACTATATAAAAAAATAACATTCTCAACCCTCTCCAATCTGGTTTCCGTCCGGGTCATAGCACGACTACCGCTCTCATCAAAATCACCGATGACATTCGACGTGGCATGGACAAGTCGCAGTTGACGGTGTTAACGTTACTGGACTTCAGTAATGCATTTAACACCGTTGACTTTGATGTCTTGCTCGGTTTACTACGTTCTCTTAACATATCTCCAACGGTAATTGAGTGGTTTCGTACTTACCTGTATGGGCGCCGGCAGCGAATCTGTATAGAGGATAAGTATTCGTCCTGGTGCTATACAACTGCTGGCGTGCCTCAGGGTGGCGTATTATCTCCTCTTCTTTTCGCATTGTTTATCAATTCAATCACTCTTAATCTTCGTTCATCCTACCACCTTTATGCAGATGATCTCCAAATTTACTCACTGACTGACTTAAATAATGTAACCGACGCCATTCGTGACATTAATATGGACCTGTCTCGTATACTTGACTGGAGTAAAGCTTATGGCCTTGCAATTAATCCAGCAAAAACGCAATGTGTCATAATTGGAAGCCCTTCTTACATCTCCAAATTAAAATCACTACATCTTCCTCCTGTTACCTTTAATAGCTTTAACATCGAATATAGTGTTTGCGTTAAAAACTTAGGTATATATTTTGATGAAACACTGTCTTGGTGTCATCAATTATCGCAGTTGAGCAGAAAAATATTTGCGTCAATTGGAGGTCTCAATCGGCTGCGAAATTTCCTGCCATTGGATACCAAGATTACGCTAGCACATACATTACTACTTCCTATCCTAGATTATGCCGATTCTTGCTATACTAATCTCACTGAAGAACAGCTAAACAAACTTGAGCGACTTCAAAATATGTGTATAAGGTTTATATTTGGTCTCCGCAAATATGACCATGTTTCTCAGTTTCGCAATAAACTCAAGTGGCTTCCTATCCGTTTTCGCAGGAATTGGCACATACTGTCCCTCCTTTATTCTATTCTTTTCAATCCTTCCACTCCTGATTACTTAAAACAGAGCTTCGTGTTTCATAACGATTCGCAAGACCGAGAGTTGCGCAGTACGAGACGTCTTTGTTTGGTAACCCCTCCTCATTCTACTAACTTCTTTTCCCAATCCTTCACTGTCCAGGCTATCCGTCTTTGGAACTCCTTACCACTTTCTATCAGATCTGCCCAATCCCAGTCCATTTTTAAAAAACTAGTAAAATCTCACTTTCTCTCCAATTAAAAATCTTTCTGTAATGTCATGTTCTGTTAGACATGTAATTAATTATATATTCTATTTATGTATATGTATTCTATTTATATGTATATATATATATATATGTATGTATATTAATGGTATTTGTATGTATGTATGTTTAGTATTCATATATTATCTAACTTTTTATAGTGCGCCACCTACCTTCCCCTTACTCAATGCTTCTATCTCCCAGGTTGTCTGTAAGAGATTGCTTTAAGCGATAAGGCCGCCTTTTGTTTGCATATCCTTCTTTTTTTTTTTTTATTTCCTTTTTGTAATTATTTGTTTCTACTATGCACAATAAAGAGTTTTATTATTATTATTATTATTATTATATTCCGTTCTTTGAAACGGAACACTGCTATAATACAAAATAATGAAAATTTACTGTTCACAACGACTCATTAAAAGCATCATCGAATAATGCGCTGTAATAAAATCCTGTTATCGATTATTAAAAAAAATCGATAATACATGTATTTATTTTTAATATGACAACACTTCATACATAAGTATTATTGGAAATAGTATTACTTGCTTGTTCGGCTATTTTTAATTTACTTAAAAAATTTTTATATGTTTAATTTACAATAATAATATATTTAGTGCTTATTATTGGAAAATATAAAAAAGACATTTAATTAGGCCGATACAAATGACGACAATGCCATCTATGAAAGCATTTTGAAAACATTGAGCCCCGTATTAGCACTGATTAAAGTGTAATTAAGTACTGGAAAATAACAAAATGAGTAAATATATGAAAATTACTTTTCTAAACGCATTATTTCATTTTAACATGTATATATAACTTTTTAAAAATTGATTAAACATTTTTGAAAACACAGTTTTGTTTTTTAAAACGTTTGCAAAACTATGAAGAATTCCATCGATACCAATCACGCCATCTATATGCAACTTTTAGCAATAATAATGGCTACTTCCTCATTGAGTGCCACTGGTATAACTAAGCAGCTAGCACTGTAACATATTACTAATTGATTCGGCATGATATTATTGCTGAAAGCGATCACAAAAAAAAATGCCTTTATTTTTATTCCCAAATTTTTATATCACGATTTTAAATCCATTTTACTCAAAAAAAAAGATTTCAGGATAAGATTATACCCTTTCTGACTAAACCTATATAGTCGACGGTAACCAATTGTCATATGATGGGCTGTGGGATTGGTTTAATGGAATTTAATTATTATGGAAATAGAATAGTAACATTCTATTTCCATAAAAATTCTGTTACTAAACGTATATTTGCAGGTAGTGGGACAAGAGTTGCTCGCAGCAGGCCAGTACCAAGCGGCTGTGACGGTTCTTGAAGCGGCACTCAGGATTGGATCCTGTTCGCTCAAATTACGGTGAGATACACTTGCTTGCACCCTAATTATACAGAGTAACCATAAAACATCTCAATTGCGGTATCCAACGCGTTCGAAAATATTATTCTCCCCGACTTACTTGATGCAATAATCCTGTTTTAAGAATTTTCTCGAGCATGTAGGTAAGTGTTTTTTATATCTCCTGGCATAGATTTATGACAGCAGGATAGATTTTAGTTATCAAATTATTAAACAAAATTTAAATTACAATAATAATAAATTACAATTGTTAAACTAAAATATTGCTAATTTATAAAATTGACATATTTGACGTGTCCAATATTTTATTAATGTAACTTATTATTGTATTTCAAATATTGTACCAAATGATAAGATAAAACATATCAATGGTAAACTAGGTTTATTACAAGTTGTTTTAAATAATAAAGTGAGGATATAATATAACCTTAGATAACTCTGTAATCGATCATTATATCTATATGATTTTGATCGACTTATTAGAAAATAAACACTAATAATTTAATATTATAATTTACATAACATTTGAATATAAACCATACTTATTATATACATATATTTAATAACATCCTTTAATAAATTCAGTAAGGTAGTTATTGTTCCTAGTTAACCCTCACATGAATACCTCTAATTAATAATTTCATGGTTTCATCTCATAATAGGAAGAAGAGAAATGGCTGCGAATACTCGTTCATTAATGCTGTAACATTATTATTTTAATCGGCATACGTATATAGCCAGTTGACAGTGGATAATTTACTCGTATGATGACCGTATATACAGTGTACAGTCGGGCTACGCTTAACATTTACATATTTTGAACCAAAATTCTATATGTATGTATATATTTGTTTATTTAATAGAAAAATGTAAGACATTATTATATTTATAAGACTTAGACTGTAAAAGGTACATTTACAGTCTAATTTTTGTAAATATATAACAAGTATGACAATCTCCTCCAACTCATCTCTTAATCTATATTAATACATATAACCAAATATTTACAATCTAAGTACTTATTTTTTAAAAAGAATTAGAGCTTAGTTGTTTCTCACTTCTAAGTTCAGAATATACAAGATGTTTGATTTCTAAATAAAACAATACCTTTAATAAATTTTATATTTAATTAAAACAGAAACATCGTAATTTTTCTAAGTATTTCTTATATGCAGGCAGTAAATATATCTTAGTCGAGTAGGTACAACCTCGACGAAAATATATTTACTGCCTGCACTTACTCAAAGGGAATGGTTATCTTTGTTGGAATTTCCACATTTTGATTTATAATGCTCGGTTGTCGAGGAAATAAATTCTTCATAAATTTCTCGCATAATAGGAGAGCATTTCAGTACAACTGTGTTACTCGGCCATGAAGATATTGACACTAATTAACTAATATAACGAGCAAAGAGAGATTAAACATTTACAATATATGTACATATCTATTGTACTCGTAATAAACAAATTATTTTTATCTCATGATTGTTATTCCTTTCTAATAAATAAAATAAATCACACTGGACAAGACATTAATCGAATAAGCAACATCGTAGTAGATTACAGAAACATTAACAGACTATTCATCCCAATTGTCAACTAAACAAGCCCTCAACTGGAACGGAGCGTAGGGCGTTAAATCCCACACCTCGACGAGATTTTATCTCGATGTTGATGGATTGAATCGACATCGATACGGTCCTATTCTGTCTTGAGATAAAATTTAATGATAATATATAGTTAGAACTTATATATTTTTTATTCCTTTCGTTTCCTTTCTTTAAACATCAACATTTATACGTACTAAATGTTTTATCATAAATCAATGTAACACTAAATTTTCAATGTTCAAACGTAGGTACACTTTACTATATGGTAATTTCCTAATCTTAAACAATAAAACAGAAAACAAATAAAGATACCATTATGTCCAATATTACGACACATAAATAGCAAAATAGTCTAGACGTATCTATATACGTATTACTTGACACTGAAAAACTGTAAGAATAGACCTTTTAGTTTTTCCCATACCTGGCATGAAAATACCCAATATGTCAGTTTGACTGTCTGTTATGTTGTGTTACCTTTTCTCAAAAAAGGCTGAACGGATCTTTCTTATTAAATTTATCATGAAGATACCGTCCAAGAACCACTAAGATAGCCATAGGATACATACTGTGCAAATTTGCTATTCCTATTCTACATATATATGTCATTCATTATATAGATATAAAGCAATAATTTTTTTCGAAAATTAAAAACTAACTGACGCGGCGCTTTGTCTGCATCACACTTACTTTGCTATTTATCATTACATTTTGCCCAATTTGCATATTATCTTTTAGAATATCACTGTAAAGTTTAATCAAAATCTCTTCTATACTTTTTGCGTGAAACATCCATCAATCCATACTCACAAACTTTCGCGTTTATAATATTAGAAAGATTATAAGATAAGCTATACCAAAGACAGCAATTAAGAAGTAGCTGAACCTACTAGTTTTAACATAATAAATATCTCTAAAATCAAGATCAGATTACATTGACTAATGATTCCTTAATGAATATAGTGGCAGTTCGTGTTCTAAAAACACGTTTTAGGTAAATTTCCACTGTTTGGTATGCTTAACAGCAAAAATGTCTCAGTATTATAGAGATCTTGAAAAAATAAAATATTGCCTATTCTAAATAACATATTGTTTATTGTACGAAGTCATTGGTTTCTTTTTGCCATTACGGTTAAAGCATATATCGACCAATATATATTTTAAATTCGAAATAACAAATTATTTTCTTATGAAAATATAATAAATACTTACTGATCGGTAAATAAGAAACTCGGAACTTAGATTCGTGTTAAAACTCAATAACTAATGAATTAGTTCGAAAACTGAATTTAATAATTTATTGTATTAAATATTTTCGTATCACTCGCATTTTAATCAATTCTATTGATAAAAATACTGTTAGTATCTTACAGTCCTCTGTAAGATACTATCTACTAGTATCTGTTTTTTCTTTATATTCCTATATATAATTATCATTAATGTATTATGAATAATTATGATATTCAGAATACGTCACCATTCACTGTCTAAGGTGCAAAGTGTAATGTCAAACGACATCATCCAAAGTGATTCATTATCCCTGCCAGAAATTAAAATATTTATCTCGACTTGCTTTAATCGGTTTCACACGAACTATTTACCTGCACTCTGGATAAAAACCGGATACAGCTGAGAGGGCTATATTTGGTTTTTATTCGTTATTTTAATTTAGTGATATTTTTATCTTGATAAAGATAGATAGCAAGATCTTGTTACAAAAAACAAAGTTAATGAGCCATTTACACGTCAAATTCTAAATGGGCATACGTCACGGTATCAAATAAGTTACGCAAACATATTAAGAAAAGTCTTAACCAACTTTTTAGTTTGGAACTAGATGGCGCTGTATGCAGGGTCTTTGTGAAATATAGAGTTGTTTTTTCCACAGTTGCAAAAATTGACAAATAGACTTGAACCTGAGATACAGTCATTAAATATCTGGTTCTTCAACTCCTAGTATCGTTGGAAACATACGATTATTAATTTCTTTATGCGATATTATATATGTGCCTAGGGAAACATGATGAGCACGCCATCTTTCATAGTAGAGAACGCTGCAATTACAAGGAGAGAAGTGACGGTTCCGTATACCGTACATAGATAACGATGATCATTATATAAATTTCGAAATACCACAAAACTACATGCGTGCGAATGAAGATAGACGACCCATATACATTTCATTATAATTATACTAATTATTTTTCTTAGGCTTACATACATGAGACAGTTTTTTTAATAACAATATTTATTCGGCTGACCACAACCCCGACTGTCTCATGCCATAGTGCAGACTAGCTCATGTATGGTTTAGTTTACATAACACATTTCATAACTATACCTAAGTTTTTCAATGCAGGGGATCAGTGTTCAGCGCGCTATCATCAGCACACTGGGCGCTGAGTCAGCTCGACGCTGCTATAAACTACATGCAACAAGACTTAGCAGTGGCCAAGTCATTGGGTGACACAGCCGGAGAATGCCGCGCCCACGGGAACCTTGGTGCGGCGTACTTCAGCCAGGGTTCTTATAAAGATGCCCTCACAGCTCATCGGTATCAACTTGTCCTCGCTATGAAATGCAAGGTAAAGACAACATTAATAGTAAACTTTAAAAAAGGGCCCTCTGTCTAATAACTCTAATATTTTACTAACTTAACTTTAATTATTTTTTATTACTATTAATTGTTGTTTCTCTAATTATATTTGATTGCATCCCATATCTTAATGAGGTCCGTGAATTCAATATATTATATAATAAGTTCAGTACTAATAATTACTGCTGTAAAATAATATGCAAAAAAACAGAACTATAAAACAAAAGACGAAAGTAGTTCTGTGCGTTCTCTCGAAAACGTACAGAACTCGCTATTTGAAAACTATGGAACAAAAGACTAATATAGTTATCTGCGTGCAGCCAACTTTTTACAAAGTCGTCTACCTCATTCTCACATATTTCAGTCATGAAGTTATTTGCTTTTTAAGCTGTTTAGGGGAGACTAGGCTATGAAATTATAGGATAAGAAACATGATATCTCAATCCTCCGGAATGTAGAGCTGTTCATGTATGTATACGAGGGTTGCCACTTGCTATCGGGTAGACCGTGATGTTATTTACCATTTCAATTACATAATAACCTAATAATGCTAATATACCTTAATAATATTCTTCGAAACGTCCGAAAAAAGAACGAGTCTCTAGTATAAAAAACAAGTATTTCACCGCTTATTTCATGTCTAATTAATTATGCTAAATAACATAAAATAATCATAAAAATCTCTGTCACCTAGGTATACGAAAATTGTTCTAACTACCGCATTGTTCGAGCTGCCTTAAAACTATCGTAGAAAATTACATTTAACCCGCAAGATAAGTTTCAATGAGTTATTTTTTGATTAACAGTCCGTCATTTCTTTTATTTTATAATCACTTGTAATATACACATATGTATATTCAATTTCCCTTAGGTAAGTTCATTACATAAGTTGCTATATTGTATTTTTTATGGTTTATATATGTACTACGTATTCATAAAAATTCAAATAATTAGGAACCTCTTTAGCTAATGAAATGTTTGTCCCTTTCTGTTCAACTAATTTAGGGTGCAACAAAACACTCTGAATTGTCAAAATATTGTTTTGTAGAGGATAACATACAGTATTCTGCGGCTGAAATATGACAGTGATTAGTGAATTATTAAATTATTATTATACTGAATAATATAAAAATATTAATATAACACTTCATATACTGAATAAAATTCTATTATTTTTTAATTTTCAACTTTTGTTTTAGTAATATTTTATCTTGCGGTTTAAAAGTTATTTCGTATCTTACCACATAACTCTGTGCATCCTTTATTATTTTATACTCGGCAAGTCAAGAGTCTGAGACTCTGATTATAGAAATGAGTTTCAGACGTCTAGAAAATTATAAGCTTTACATTACGCGTGTAATGGAGTTAAGTTGTAGGTGTTGGTTTGTTCGTGTCGGCGTAATGCCGTGAAATTAATCCTTTGAACAATTTTTATGTATTACATTTTCTTTATTTTCATGCGTCTAAAGTATGGACATACATATATAATATCAACATAGGAATACAGATATCTTATGAAAACATTTTTCGCGTACCATATTTAATTGACACTAACTTAATTTAGTAGGTATATATAAACATACATATATATATATATATATATATATATAATTTAATATTATATATATATATATATATAATATTAAATTACTGATTGACTCATTCTCACTAAAACTACTGTGTAATTAGTTAATAACGAATTTGTATTAGTTATTATGTATATATGTGACTTGCATAGTTCATCTTTATTAAATAGCTTATGTATAAATAATTTTGTATGTAATAGGACAAGTACTTTTTAGAGTAAGATTTAATATACCTCTCGTAAAGGCAGGGTCAACGTTTAAAACGTTATGTTTATTTGCTCAGTGGAACCAATGTTCGCAGCTTCACAGTTGGCTGTAGCTATAAAAATAATTTTACACGGTTTCCTGTGACTTTTAGAGGTAATTGTAGCTGATATGAAAAAAGCACCAATTCGATACATTTGTACAAATAATAATTAAATTCATATTTTTCACATTCACATTCGAGCTGATGTTATTTATGAGTTTGTTAGAATAACTCAGTAACCAAATAAAGCTTATAATTAATTCTTTATATAAGAACCAGCCAATAGCTAACATTAGCGAGGTTGTCTGCTTTTTTCGAATGAAATGTTTATTCCTTCGATATGATTGATCTATCTTCATGTGAAATGTCATTTATTTTGGTTCTTTCGTTTTATTATGTAAATGTAACAAATGAACTTATAATATTACTGTGGATATACCTACATATATTTTGTTAATTAATAAATATATATATATATATATAACCAAAGTATTATTTTAGAGAACTCAATTTTTTTAAATTAGTTTTTATATTTTAAGTCCGTTAAACTCTTTCTCATGTTTATTTATGTACCTTTAAATAGTATAAAATGATAACTTTCGCTGTCTGTTTGCTTAGACCTTTTAAACTACGCAACGGATTTAATGCAGTTTTAGCAATATATTAGAGAATGATTTAAGAGGATACATGTAGGTACACCAGTGAGAAACCGGGGCAGTTATGAATAAAAGAAATAAATCTTTTGACTTTAAAATATTAGTAGGAAGAAACTATTACTATTATTATTGCTGAAACTATTTTCGTATACAATCAAATTGTAATTGTAATCGTTCGTTATCGTTACGAGTCAGTAGCCACCCGGTTTGTTGCATTGCATATATGCATACTCATACTCGGTCATGCAAAAGCGAAACATTCATTTGCATAGATGTAAATTTGTACGAGGAGTCACTCGTAAACTATTGATATTACGTACTACCACTAGAATTACATAGCTACTATGAGATCTCACTAGTAATTCGAATCAACTTACAATTTTATGACTATTTATTGATGTTTTGAAAATACATATAATACTATAGTTTGTGATAGATACAGAACTTTTATATTCAATTTACACTTAATAATTATCTATAATTACCTATTCAAAAAATTTTTATTGGGTATATTTTCACACAACAGAATATTGCTTGATAATCGAATCCGCGACCCGAATTAAATCACTAAACCACCGAAGCCGATAATATGTGAACGGTCGTGATACAATCTATCTTCATTTCACATTTAATTACGATATTAAATGTGAGATGAAGATAGAGTGTATCGCGATCATTGACTATCTTTTGTCTAAAAAAAACAAGTGATGTCGCGAGTAATAGTCAGTAATATAAATACGAAAGTGTGTATATCTGTGTTTTGTATGAATAATTAAAAGGTATACATATATAAGTCAGTGAATAGTTAGGTAGTTGTAATATAGATGTATATTTAATATGCTACCTACACCGTTGCTGCAATATGAACAAGCGATGATATCGTAGTATGGTATTCATTACGTTTAAAGAAACACTGCGAATAATAAAGTTCGCTTTTTATAGAGGCCTTTGATCGTTGCCGGTGCACCCGTGCACATAGTAATGATAATTTGCAGTAAATACAGTAACATTGCATAGCCTTTTATCGTAATTACCAACCAAATGATAATTTGCGATATTAGCGAAAATGAAATTAAATGCACTCGTTTCCTGAACTATTTCCATTAGTGCATTAACTGACATTGTAGACTATGAAACGAAGTTAAGTTTCCAACCAATTAAACATATTAATTGCTGGGGAGTTAAATTGCAAGTATTATTAAGTGATAAGGAAATGTTGCCATCACGTCAGACCCCCCTTAAAACTACATCCAATAATTATACACAATATATTATATAAATTTTTATGTAGCAATGTGTTCTCTTTTTTCTTTTACAACTTTTACAGAGTTAGAGAAGAGGATAGTTAGTAGTGGGAACATAGTGACTATATTATTATCAATGTGTAGTTATAACAATTGTAACAGGTAGCAATCTTCATGTCCCTTGTCGTCTCATGTCTTCATTGTCCCTGGATATCAAATTATTTTTAAAAATCTTTATTTCATTTATTAAATATCTTTAACTCAGCACTATTGTAAAGAAATATTATTCTATAAATTTATGTAAACTTAAATATCAGCCGTTCACAACGCTGTGTTGACATAAATTGGATTCATGAGACAACATCACGACGGTTTATTTAAATAATTACAAAAAAAATCCTGTTGTGTTCAAGACTCAATTACCATGTCAGCTTTACGACAGCGTTATTATAAACAAGTTTGAAAATGTTGTAGCAAATACTAGATATATTGCCAGCTAGTTCAATTGGAATGTATGGTAGAGTACATAAAAACTTCAAACAAACGAACTGTACCGTCACCGTTATCCCAGAGGGGTGGTCGGAAGTATTGTTAACTGTCGAAATAATGATATAACTCTTCACATGGCCACATTTCGCTAAATTTATTTGAACCCAACCTGGCAAGAGCGAACCCACTGGCGGCTCTCGGATTATTTTTGGTTTGATGTCGGTGTCTCCTATTATTTAACTTAATTGACCGGGAGGTAGCCAGACATATTTTCATTATAGAATATTTCAAAATTGACAATCTATGATTTACGACAAATAACTTACGTATTTTCATAATATCAGTTCACAATATTGTATATGTATATTTATATTCAACATATGAAAGCAATATAGTTATTCTGACAATACCAATATGAAGTTATTGTTATTACAAAGGCACAACTTCTTATTTCATTACTAATCGGGATATAAAGATTGGTCAGGATTCAAACATATTTGCTTATGACCTAAAATACCTTTCTGTGCTAAAATAAAAATGTTCGTAGACACTCATAAATCTTCAGTTTCCGATAATCTTAATGGGGTATCTGGGGGGGAATATTCTTACAAAATTTGGGAATAAGGCTCTACCACGTTTGGCTTAATTTAAAACAACGAAATAAATGTTTATTATGATATACTTGTAAATATTACATTGCTATAATTTCTTGTACAAATAAATTAATATACCGAGTCAAATATGAGCGTGCCAAGCATTGCATTCATAACTTTGACAGTTTACAATAGCTCTTCTAATCTGAGATAACCGCTATGAAAATCTATTAATTTATGTATTTTTAAATATTTACACTAAAATACAAATAACTATAATAGATATTTATATACAGATAACATCTATATACTCATCGGACTAGTAGAGCCCAGAGGGCTGGCCGTATTACCTTGTTGGATCGCGATGGCGCGTTCGTCAGGTCCGTTAGCCTAACTACAGTTTTCTTCTGATCGCTAGATGACCTGCCTGTATCTCCACAGTAATCTCAAAAAGTAATGAACAGATTTTCATACCACAACACTGTGATGTCTGTAGAAGGTTTAGGAATATAATTCGTTAATGTTTTGTGTAAATTACCTGAAATATGTAACGCTGGAACGAGTTGGTAATAGATTATTCTCGTAAATATTTCATGTACAACACTCGGATACTATACTTACATTATGGATGTTAAATGGAAACTAAGTTATGTTTTAAACTTAAATAAATGAAATATAATATATTTCATATGGTAGTTAAAAACGAGTAATCACGAGAGCAACCCGCAAAACAATCCAATGAACAAATAGTCATAAAAAATATTTACTTTACGCGTTCCAGCCGAGCAGCGTCCAACAAAAAAGCCGCTGATTTAAAATAACCGCGAAATGTTCGCAACGACTGGAATTTGTTTACGAGTAATCTGAGGCCTTTCGGGAATGTACACAAAAAAAAATTAAACCTACTCACAACTACAATAATATATACACACGGAGATATAACAAACATTGCCTATACTTATTTAACAGTATGATGATATATATGAATATGATGTTTTCTTTTATAGTTTAAGGCTGCATATTACAATTTTCATAGTAGCACGGTTTTTATACAGCCCCTCTTCATAAAAAACGTGCTACTATGAAAATTTTCTAAAACTAATTAGACTTGATGAAATTCTGTCCATGGGATAAGGCAACTACAAATAAATAAATAAATGTCAACGATTCATACTAGTCAGATTTTCTTTAAACAAATTTTGGTTTAGAATTGCACTGAAAAACATGATTCCCTAAAATAGACATATCTTTAGAACATTCATATGAACAATCCAAGACAGTAAGGGATTTTGCAAAAATCTCCAAAACATTGAAAATATACCTAATAAATTTTCAGATTAACGAAAAAATACCTTTATATTTACTACGTAAACCGATTAGGGCGGAAAATAAATATTTAAAACAAAATTTCGATCAAAAGTATTGCTATCATGTATTCATTTCATTTTTATAACATTAGTTTACAAAAACAGCAAATATGTGTAACGTATAAATACATAAAAATTAACTTGTTCATTATGAAAGAGACTTGAGCGATCTTACTTTAAAAAGGTTTCTAAGTCTATGTATTTCTACGTAACAATTTCATACGTTTGTAGATTTGATATGAACAGCGTATTTAAATTGCATACATATAATGCAATGCGCTGATCTTGCCTGCCTTCACTCGTGAATTCAAATATGCGTTTATCCGAGAATAATTTGACAGTAACATGTGAGGTATCCTAGGCAACCTTCATTAGCGAACGTCTAGAATAACTGTCCGTTCATCTAGGCAGGTGCTATCTCTGTGACCATGCGAGATGCTCGGTATTCGCAATATGACAGAACTACCTCCTACTCGAATTATATAATTTACATATAATATAAAACAGTTTGCAATGAAGGTAATGACATAAATATCTACACACTGATATTTGTAAAATGTCTTGTACAACGTGTTATATGATGCTCATGCATGTCCACATACGATTAGGTATTTTTAAGCTCTTTTATAATGAAACTGGAAGTGCATAGTCTTTCATGGTTCACATAATGAATGGATTTAAATATATATAATATAAACAACATTTACACTTTGCACATTATTCTGTGTGCCTAATTCTGGTATGAATAGTATGTATGTATGAATGCCGCATTCAAAGAGCAGCAAATAATACACTACACTACTATACACTAGTAATACTAACAAAAATGTACGATACCGTATCCTGCTCTATATAAATATATAAAGACCTTTATTCTAAGTGTCCTAACCATCTCAAAGTGAATATACGACAAATTTACATTGATAATAAAAAAGCGTACGAAATCCATTATACCTTATAAAGTATAATATACCTTCATAAGTTGATTGAGGTTATCAAGTTGGGTAAGTGCTTGAGACTACATAATATAATATATATCTTCATACTAGCTGTCCCGGCAAACATTGTTTTGCCACAAAATTTTAAGTACTAATATCGCTATTAAAAAATAGAAGGGTGAAAGTTTAGGATATATATTAAAAATATATTGACCAAAAATAACTTAAAAATAATAGGGGGGTCAACCCTTAGAGGTATAAAGGGGGGTATATGACTTAGGGGGGATATTACTTATTAATAATAATAATAATATAATATTACTTATTATTGGGGGGATATCACTTAGGGGTATAAAAATAGTAACCGATTCTCAGACCTACTGAATATGCATATAAAAGTTCATAAAAATCGGTGAAGCTGTTTCGGAGGAGTATGGTAACTATCATTGTGACACGAGAATTGTATATATAAAAAGATTATGTTCAAACATCTATGTGCTTTATAAATTGGAAGTTACGTGTGTATGCACTAAACATATCTGAGCTTAGGCACGATACGAATTGAAAAACGAACGAGTCGGTATGTAAATCACCACGTTATCGTATCAAGTTGCACATACTTAATTAGCTAGATTGGTGCAGCGCGTCCAACCTTACTTGGTGGTTTATTACACGAAAACATCGATATCGACAGTTTTTATAAATATACTTAATACTTAATTTCGATTGTGCATTTGCAAATATTTAAATACGTAGTTAAGTATGGTTTTCAATATGCATATAAAACCTATAGGTTGAAATATATGTTATATATTAAATATATTTATCTAGTAGTACATTATAAAATATAATGTACTACTAAATATATGTATTCAAATCCTTTTTTGTTTTGATGACAATTAAAATATATTTATTGCATTTTCGTAACTTAATCTGTTATTTCCTTTATACTAGACAAAAAAAGGACATAGCAGAAGCAAAGCTAGGCGTTGTTGATATATACTATCATTCAAATATGTACATATATTCAAACTACGAGGATCTCTCTTTTCTACTTAAAAGCTTATATTCGCGAATATATTTTCTCTATTTTCACATTTCTACTCTGTCTACAACTTATTCCCACTTATTTGTAAACACACTTCATTAGTTGGCAGTATGAGTCATAGATACGATAGCTAAACACTCACATACACACACACACATAGATTTATTAAAGTACGTACGTATTTTTTATCGATACATAAAGGTAACATCCTTGACAATGAAATTGACGAGACAAAGCCCTATTGGCGGTCTGTCTTCAAACATTTTTTCTTCTTCACTTCCTTAGTGAAAAGGATACGATGCATTCTACGCTGCGTTTATCCATATATTTTATTGTTAGTCTTATTATAAAGTCAGTCCATATAAGTCATTCGTACCATGTTGAATAACAAACTAAGAAATTGCTCTTCTATAAATATGTGTTTATTAGCGATTTTCACACATAATTATTTTTAGCAGAGTATTTGCTATATATACCAATAACATACAAATTAATTGTTTATTTATTTATTTGCTCATAAAACAGATTACATTCCGTGCAAGAATTGTTCCGTGCTTAGGAGCGTATAGTTTAGTACAAAACTGGATTGTACTCCAACACTATGTATTCCTAAAAGCTAAATTATATAGATACATGCAATATATGCTAGACAGTGCTAGATAATAAAAAGTACACTAAATAGAAAGTAATATAGAACTACGTACTATTATAAATCATTTTGTTAACAGTAATGTATTAAAAAAAAGTACAACAAGTAATAGAAAAATAAGTAGAATAGTTTACTGAGTATATATAAAACAAATGTAGTCATTCTAGTTACCTAAATTAAAAAAATTTCAACTTGACATTATACATATTTTTTTACAGGACACACAAGCAGCGGCGGCTGCTTTAACTTCATTGGGACATGTATACACAGCCATAGGCGACTACCCTAATGCTTTAGCGAGTCATAAGCAATGTGTCCAACTAGTCAAACAGATGGGCGACAGGCTACAGGAGGCTAGGGAGATAGGAAACGTCGGAGCAGTGTATTTGGCTATGGGAGAATTTGATTCGGCTGTCGATTGTCACACGCAACATTTAAGACTTGCACGAAGATTAGGAGATCAGGTAAAGTTTTATTTTGAATTTATGCATATTTATTTCATGCCTATAATTATATATTTTTATCTGTATACTTTCAAGTTACTCGCAACTTTTTAAATTAAGTAGATTTTACGCATTAGTATGAAATGGTTACAAATATTATATATTTTAAAATATCTACTCTAATTGTAAATGTATATATTTCTGATTGATTCTCATGTGATTGAAACATAGAGTTAAAAACAGCGGTAGGCTTTCATCCTTACGTGCTATATATATATACTGAGCAAAATGAGCACGTCAAAACCACTATATGCCTGATTGTTAATATTAATATATGATTGTATGTATGTTGTAGGTAGAAGAAGCAAGAGCATATTCAAACCTTGGTTCTTCATATCACTATCGACGAAATTTTTCACAAGCAATAGCTTACCATGAGAATGTACTGAGGATTGCACAAAGCTTGGGCGACAGAGCTATCGAAGCCAGAGCTTACGCTGGACTGGGACACGCGGCCAGGTATGTCATATTTTATGAGGTAATAAATATCGTAATATCATGTATACTTGTTTAATGTATGCTATGTATATGTATTTATTTACGTACTATAATTTTGATATTTTATACGTTATCACAACAAAAATTTTGTATTTTAATCTTAAAATATTAGTTATACATACATACAGTTATATTATGGATATAACTATGTATTTATACTAATGTATTTATTACTTTTAGTTATATAGGTAGATTAGTAGGCTTATATATTAATAAACACCGTCATTGAATACATGTATTTAAAAAAATAGTAATGCCATAATAATTTTAAAATATCGTTTTCAATGTAGTCTTAATTAATATGATACGTTAATAACAGTGTATTTATGATATAATTTATATATAACTACCCATCAATATCATTTCAACTGATGCCGGATGATTCGTAACTAAATAGATCTTCACAGTTTAATATATGTATATCTGATATTTCTTTACATTAATAATAATTATATGAATACAGTCATATAATCATACAAAGATAACATGCGATCTCCACGAACTAATCAACAGGTGCGGCGGTGACTACGCGCAAGCGAAGAAGTGGCACGAACGACAGCTCGATGTTGCTTTGGCGGCGAGAGATAAGGTTATACATATATTAATTGAAATATGCTACATTATCTATTTTATCGTTTTAATAAATATACAGCGGAACCTCACTTACCTTTTATACTGATAATTCTAAATGTTGCAGGTGGGGGAAGGTAGAGCCTGTTCGAATCTGGGCATCGTGTATCAATTACTAGGAGAGCATGATGCTGCACTTAAGTTGCATCAGGCTCATCTTTCTATTGCCAGGCAATTACAGGTGAGTACTTATAAATTACTACTACTTATAAATTACTCTTATTCGCGGGCGAGGAAAATTACTCTTCACTTAGGTTTGATATCAACCTACCTATTAAATTCCCCTAAGAGCATTATTAGGTAATGGTCTACTTATTTCCTTGAATATTGTGTTTGAGTTATAATAGTAACACTTCAATGCGGACTAATGCAAGAATAGAGTGAAATGTGATGGCAAATTCACTCAGTTACAAGCATCGAGAGCTGCACTTCATTAACTAGGTACCTACGAAATTATTGTGTTAGGTCCAAATATAACTCTAATTTATAATCTAATGATCATAATTTACAAACTTCTTATAAACACTTTTTCAACCCAACCTATTATGTGCCTATAATTTCAAATTATTTTTTATAACTAAATTCTTATCTGTTCTCTGTAGCAGTCATTATTTACTGGTACAGAGTGTTAATTATATATATATATATATATATATATATATATATATATATATATATATATATATATATATATATATATATATTGCCTTTCGTATTATGCGCATTAAAGGTAATAAATTAGTCTGGTTTTAATATTAATTATTATCTTGTAACTTTTACTGCAGGATAAAGCCGGCATGGGTCGGGCTTATGGCAATATTGGAAACGCATATTCTGCAGCGGGTTTTTACGAGCAAGCGATAAAATACCACAAGCAAGAGCTCACGATATCTAAAGAGGTGCATGACAGAAGTTCGGAAGCCTCTACACATGGCAACTTGGCTGTTGCCTATCAAGCGTTGGGTGCTCATGATATGGCGTTGTTCCATTATAGAGCGCATCTAGGTTGGTTTTGATTCTTGACAATTATAATGTTGATGGATGGATGAATGGATGGATGGATGACCCATCTGATATCGGTTATAGGTTATATATCTAAGTTACTTATTAAATACATAAATGTTTCTATGTGTACACCTGTTTAGTACTACTTGATTGACTAAAAGGAACTTAATGATATTTGACTTAATGATAGATTGTATCATAAGGACAGACATCTAAAAAACCAGGTACAGTCCCGGATAACAGCTATAAATATTTACAAAAACTAATAAGCATAGAGTTACTTACACTAACTTATCATGATCAAATAAGATGTCTAAAAAAAAAAGTATATCAAATTTAAGGCACTGGTCCTAAAAGTAACTACTTCCTTAATTACTTTACACAATTCTAACGTTACAGGTATCGCCCGTGAGCTAAAGGACGCGGCAGGCGAAGCGTGTGCCTTACTGAACCTGGGCAACTGTTTATCTTCACGTGGAGAGTTTGCGCAAGCTGTACCTTACTATGAGCAGCATTTGATGTTATCACAAGAACTTGGTGACGTCACTGCGGAGGCCAAAGCGTGCCATTTCTTAGGATACGCTCATTATTGTTTGGGGAACTATAGAGAAGCTGTTAGGTAAGATCATATTATAAATGTATATAATTTTAAAATAGAAACATATTTTAGTCTTTAGGAATGTTTATTCACTATGGTTACAAATTTCTATGCGATGGGTCTATGTTGTTCATTTTCATATTATCCAATAACTATAGCGCCTATGGCTCTAATACTAATATTATGATTCCATCAGAGAATGCGATCATCAATATAGTTAAAATATAATCTTTTGCAGGTACTATGACCAAGATCTGTCTCTGGCAAAAGATCTTCAAGACAAAATGAACATGGGTAGAGCATATTGTAACCTTGGACTGGCACACCTCGCATTAGGAAATCTAGAAACTGCATTAGAATGCCAGAAATACTTCCTTGCCATAGCACATATGACGCAACACTTGCAAGGCAAATTTAGAGCTTTAGGAAATATAGGTGACGTCCTAATTAAAATGGGAGATGTTGAAGAAGCCGTCAAAATGTACCAGAGACAACTTGGTTTTGCTAGACAGGTTTGTTTCCCTTGTTTCCTTGATTTTCTTTTTGATTTGTTCAAGTTTGTTAAAGGGTTGTGAAAGTTAGTTGTGATTTAGTATATGATATGAAAATCTCCAAATTTGCAGGCCCGCGATAGATCTTTGGAAGCAGCCGCCTGTGGAGCCCTAGGTCTAGCTAGGAGACTACAAAGAAGACTCGATGCTGCGTTGGGACACCACACACAGGTAAGATTGTTTGCTGATAAAGCCAAACGAATTCTAATAATTTTTAGTATACATACTAAAAATTATTAGAATTCGTTTAGCTGTAGTCAAATTTTAGAACATTTCAAAAATATTTTATCATGATTTTAAGTCACTGGATGATTTTGTCCATAACAAAGTCCATAACAAAAACTTTAAATTAAAGGTTTTGTTATGGACTGTAGATTAGATGTAATTATTTAAATATGAAATACAAAGAATGGTAGAATATTGAGTGCGCGTGTCGTAATCGGTGGCGAGATCAGAAGTGAGGGCCGGTCGGTCCGGTGCTATTGCTAGGTGCACCCCCTTTGAGCCACGCCCCGCAGCACCGCTCGCGGACTCCAGTCTGGCGAGCCGACGATGTCCGAACAGTCTATCCGGCTCGAAGGACCATTAATGTAGGGTCCTAAACTAAGGACTTTTAAATTAAAGGTTTTGTTATGGACTGTAGATTAGATGTAATTATTTAAATATGAAATACAAACAATGGTAGAATATTGAGTGCCTACGTCACAATATCGAAGGATAAGTTAGGATTACCTACACATGGGTCAAATTTCACTGTTTTTATATAAATGAAACCAAATTAAAACATTAATTAATCATAACCTTCATTAAATTATCGGAATTTTATAGGAGCTGACTCTTAGACAAGAAGCGGGAGATGCAGCAGGCGAGGCAAGAGCACATTCCCATCTCGGGGCTGTCCACATGGCACTGGGACATTATTCACATGCCGCTAGGTGTTATAGGGTAAAGTATATCTGTAGTAGCTGATAATATGATATATAATTATTAGAAAGTTACACAGGCTACATTTTATTACAAAAAAAATAAAAATCTCTATAATAATGCCACCCGTACGAATCCAGATTATTTTAATTGATTTAATTTACAACTAAAAATAAGCGTATTAACAGTTTAAATTTAATTTTAGGAACAATTAGAAAGGGCTCAAGAGTTACAAGACTGCGTATTGGAAGCACAGGCGTATGGCAATTTAGGTATTGCTAAACTCAACATGGGACATTATGAAGATGCCATAGGTTATTTAGAACAGGTGAGCACAGCTATATGAAATTGTTATTAAAAACTCTTAAAAGAGAAATAAGTCTCAAATTGTTTTTCATTATTGATCATCATGCAATGATTACGTACGTATATGATATACCTACGCTGGTCAGTTGGCGAATTCACAAGACTTTATACTCACTCCAAGAATCAATTATTAGACTCCCTTAGGGGAGTCTAATTAAATCCCTTAGTATAATATGGGTATTATAGATTATAGTTACATATTATACATTGTTAGCATTTCAACTTTTACATTTACAAATAATAATTAAGTTAATGTATGTTGTTTTGTGTATTCATTATCCCTTTCGTGTTTACTATTTCAATATTACTAATAAATATCTCTTGATTATAGCAACTCGCAATTCTGGAACGTGTAAATAGTTCTACGTGCCAACTAGAAAAAGCTCGTGCACTTGGCTCATTGGGTGACTGCTATGATGCACTTGGCGACCCTGACGAAGCCGCCAAGTACCATGAGCAACACCTTGCTGCTGCACTGAAACTTGACAACGCCAGGGAGCAAGAGAGGGCATACCGCGGGCTTGGACTCAGTCATAAGTCAGTACAACAACATCGGAAACCTTCATGATTAATGCCTTAAAAATTGTTAGAAATAGAAAACTTTCAATGGTTCCTACTATTAGTTATGTAATATGGCCCTTATAAATAATAACATCTGCAAATATATGTAAAATACATAGAAACTCGTTAATAATACCGTAATAGTATCGTCGAATAAATATTATACCATAACATTTAGTATTATATAGATTTACTATATGTAGGTAAATACCATTATGAAATTTGTATTGTATGATATTTTGAATAACGAACGAGATGTTAATTTAATTTCTAAATCGCTAATTTACGAAAAAAAATTTTTTTAAATCACTTGTCGTAACCATTTTGAATTCATGTCCAATTGAAGAATAATGCTGCCTTTCTTACCATGTACCTTATGATTCCTAAAAGGTCTATCGGCAACCTTCAGCAAGCACTGGTATGTCTTGAGAAACGACTAGTGGTGTCTCATGAACTCGGTGTTCCGGAGGCAAAGGCGCAAGCATACGGTGAACTGGGCGCTCTGCACATCGCTCTCAATAATCTTGACCAGGCGGTCTCTTGTCTTGAGCATCAGAAGAACATTGCCAAGTAAGAAGAAATTCTTTACATATTATGCAAATTGTTTGCATTACATGAGAGCCTGTCAAAAATTATTATTAAAATAATCAGTAGGTAAATGTGTCTTATACTGATTCAAAAGTTAACTATACGAGTACAAATAACTTTTACCCAGGAAATAACGAATAGAACTTATAGAAAGTAGTCTGCATAGACATCTCTGTCTGTCTATATTTTCGCTAAGTAACTACAAAGTAGTAAGTTTTGTTTCTGTCGAAATATTGACAATGGCAATAGTACCCTGTAATTGCCATATCTTATTATACCTAATAAGATATAGCAATTACAGGGTACAGAGGTGTGACAGTTTAATTCTCGGGAATCGTACACACATTATATTACATCTAAAAATATGTAATATACTTTGTAAGGTATATTTGCCACTTTTAGTCAAGTTTCCAACATTTTACTTAACATGACGGCCTCGGTGGTCTAGCAATATAGCGTACAAACATTTGTATTCCTAATTATAATTGTATCAGTCTGGGTGTTTTCTTTGTATATTATGTATGTATTTATAAAATATCCAAGTATTTATATCAGTTGTCTATGTAGTAGCCTTAACAGCTCGGCTTTTTTTGGGACTAGATTACGTTGTGCGAATTGTCCAGGGGTATATTATTATATTATAACATATTTTCAATATACAGGGAACTGAACAACCAGATAATGGAAGCAGAAGCATGCCACTCTTTGGGAGCTGCTCAACACGCGCGTGGTGACCACGCATCTGCCGTTCGACACCACCGAGCCGAACTCGAACTTGCACATAGGCTTGGCCTTGCACACTTACAGGTAAATACCGTTATATCATTTATAATACAAATATGTGAAGGGGCAAAGGAAAACAGGACGACCAAATAGAAGATGGGAAGGTGAAATAATTAAAACTGCAGGAAATAGATTACTACTATGGACCAGAATCACTCAAGATATAACAGAATGGAAAAGATTAGAGGAGGCTCTGTCTCTCTTCCCTTTTGTTAAATCTCTTGCAAGTGAGCAGACGACTAAGAAATATTACATATATTGCAAAATAGTAAAAAATAAGAATAACGTGTATTGCGTCTGAATAAAAGGCTATAATAAAAAAAACGCGTGTGTGGTAGTTTTACCTTCGCCATAGATTTCATAAAGTTGCAATACTTTGTATATAATTTATTTTGTACATTCTGTGATCTACACAAGCAAACATTGTTACATATACAAAGTTGTTTGGTACAAGTTGTATATATTCTTTGGATAGAATAAAATGACAAATATTTTCATTCAGATGTTGAATATATACAAAATAACGTTTGCGGCTACATAACTAGTATATTATAACTTTTAATTTTTTTTTTTAAATATAATTACTCTTTTTGCAGGCCCGTGCAAGTGGCGGTCTAGGCGCAGCTCATGCGTCTATGGGCGCCCATGCTGAGGCAGCACGATGGCACGAGTCCAGGTTACGACACGCCACTGCTGCAGGTATAGTTTGTTTTAGGAATGGCGTGATAAGAGTTAATAATTGATAGGATAACGATAAAATTATATCTGTTAGCTTATTTTTAATGTCCCTATGTATATATATCCTATAAGCCTATATATTTAAATTGATACCTAAATAAGAAATATCTAATATATAAAGCTGCATTTATATATATATATATATATATATATATAGATATAGACATTAATACAAATATTTTTTTTCTCTTCCTATGTTTTAAGTAATCTAAAAAAAAAAAAACATAAATGAAAGCCTTTTTTTATTTATGCATATTTATTATTTTAAATTCTGAAATTATATTTTACTAAAAGATAAATAATTATCTATCAAATAAGGTCTATAATTTCAATTACTAAATAAATGACTAAAAATATAGGTGACACGCGCGGACGAGCCCAGGCCCTGGCAGACCTAGGCCGCGCGCATCTGGCGATGGGTGCCTGCGGCAGCGCCGTCTCCTACCTAAGGCAGGCACTTGCTGCTACTGAGGGCCTTGCTGATGCTGATGAAGAGGTCATTTAAATTGTTCTGGCAATTTTTTTACTATTTACTTAAATTTTTTTTCTGGTTATTTATTTTGAATTGGATATTCACGAGATTAGAGGTACATATTTGACGTATCAATGTAGCTAGCAGTTTAAATAAAATTCAAAATATTTATAATTATTCATATTTAGACACGTAATCATTATTTATTTGTTCTATACTGACTATTTTGCGATACTACCTCAACAATATTTATGATTATAGTAAAAACTAATTTCTTGTAAATTTTGAAAATGGAACATTGACTATATTATTTATATCAAGTGATATTTGGCGGGATATTTTATGGACTAATTACAATATATATAAATATAGTTAATATTTTGGATGGCCTACTGATTTGAACATATAACAGAATTCCTAATGTAATGCCTAAATATAAATTTTATGTCTATAACAGGCAAGAGTTCGTCATAGACTCGGATTTGCACTTTGGGCGTCGGGTGAACTCGAAGAGGCCAAGGAACAGCTGCAAGCAGCTCTTAATGTCTTGGAGTCGAGTAGTGAGAAACACCGTGATAAAAAGATCGTAGCTCTTTATACTTCTACACAGCATGCACTACAGCGAGTTCTTGTTGGTAAGTATTGGTTAGATTGATAACATTTTTAACGGCTACTACTATACTACTATATATAAATCCTATTACTACAACTACTAACGACGGTAGACTTTATAAAAAGTCTTCTACGTGTATACCTTACTTATTTCAGTGGGTTGTTTCATAAGTTGTGATTCTACTGAAGGATGAGATAAGGTAGTAAAATTACAGCATATATGGATGATAAAAATCTTACACCTCCAGAATGGTACTTAAGTGGTATCACGGACGTTATCTGTTTCTTGTATATCACGGCCGTGGTTACCACTTACCATCAGATTCGCCTTCAACTGCATGGCCAGTCTAATTACCTACATAAAAAAAAATCATCATATCACACACGTTACATGTGTGTATCATTTTAAAAATATATATTCCTAACAGTAATAGTAGAAACTAAGTAAATTGAAATAATATGTGAATGAAATTATTTCCATCAGAGCTGGGTCGTCACCCCGAGGCCCTTGTGGTAGCGGAGCGCGGACGTTGTCGCGCGTTTGATTCCGTCACCGAGAAACATTCTGGAGCCCTCAGTCAAGCTAATCTAGAGCTCCATGCTGCACAGAGGTAATGAAAGATCGTCATATTCACAACAATGTAGTAAACTGGTCTCTTTCAATTAAATGAAAGTATTTTTTGGGCATAATGATCATATTCCCTCTTGTCCAAATAACGAATAGTAATATAATATTAGTATATATCTTACTAATATTATAAACGCTAAAAATGTTTGCTACTCTTTCACGCAAAAACTACTGAATGGAATATGATGAAACTTTACTGTAATAGCTTATATATCAGAATAATACGTGAAACGTGAAACACACAATGAAACCGCGAGCACAGCTAATAAGAATAAGAGCACAGCACCTCATAATTGCATTTTATTAAAATTTTCTATTATTATTAAACTTTTACACTACTAAATTATACTTTGTTGGTATATTAATAGGCGAGATCTAAGTTCTGGCAATGAAAATAATCATTAATGTCCAAAATTAATCTGTATCCATTTCATTTTTAACAGAAACGCAACGGAAGAAACAAGTAAAGAACGTACAGAACCGTGGAGTCCATCGACCGTGGAACAAGTACTGGAGGTGGTGAACAGACAGAAGGCTCCGGTACTATACTACAGCATAGCGGCAGGGAAACTCTACGCTTGGCTCCTTCAGCCGCATAAAGGTATATACTATTGATAATTCACTCTGCAAATTGCCTGCGAGCTAGGGACAGCTCAAAGGAAAACTTCTATATTATAGTTAATTAACTGTTTTAGAAGTTTTCAGCCTAGGGGACATTTCCACTAGGCCGAAAACTTGATGAAATTAAGGTGGTACCAAAGGTAAATTGTAAAAAGTCGTCTGTGTAGAATCTGGAGTTACATTGCATCAAGTTTGTTCACGAATCAGAGTTCTTACAATTCAGTCGTTCTTCTACCCAATATACTTTATCATAGTGAAATGATGATGATATGTGTTTCATACAAATGTAAATGTACCTACATACTAACTAAAAATATATAGAGAATTATATTACATAAAGAAATTAAATACTGTACGATGCCAAACACAAAACCAAAGAGTAGCCAATGTAGAATTTATGGCCTATTACAATAAGATCCTTGTTGTCCGAACAAAAAATAGTGATAGCCTTATACAGCCATATAGGTTATTTGCTAATCCATTCTTCCACTAGGAAGAATAGATCTACTTAATTCCGCATTAAAGAATAGTAACCTACATAGAGAAAAGTGATTTTTTTCTACAATTTATTGAAATTATTAACACAGTAAAAGAAAGGTTTTACATCAAAGATATGTTTTGCAGGCATACTGCGATTCCACCAAGTATCCCTACTTGAAGAAGCAGAGGATAGCGACAACAGTTTACCAGACATCAGTCCTGATGACCTCGAACCAAACAATGGTAATTTATAGATAGAAATCTTTTATTTTAATTTAAAAAATTAACTCTTTTAGTATCTACTACAGTAATCAAAATTTGAAAAGTAAAAGATAAATTCCTAACAATCCAGCAAAGGAAAAATCGTAATTGTCTATATCACGTAATAGTATTTTGATCACCTTGATTTTAACCATTAGATACTTACTTATATTTTAAGTTTAAATTATAGTACATTTGCATATAAATGTCTTCCGAAATCTTAAAAAACGTTTGACAAGATGAGAAGGCCAGTCCTTAATTCATTTAATGAAAGTATACAATTTAATCGAAATGTATAATACATAACTTTATTAGCAGTTATATATTATATATATATAATATGATGTACATGTATACATTGATATTTAAGTTTATGATTGGAAGTTTACTACTAATAAAATAATGTTTCAATTAATATCTAACTTTATTTCAGACACAATACAATTAAGAGTTCTTTTAAGAATACGTATTCAATACGTACCATTTCTAAACTACTTTGTCCATGCACTTGTGCTATGTGATCACTTAATAATATCAAAATAAATTAGCCAAACACAATAAAATTCGAAACCAAATTTTTTTAAATACTGTATTCTTCATATAGGTGGTTTAGGCAAGCTAGAACGATGTATAAGTGAATGGTCGAACTGGCTCAAGACAGCAGCCGAACGCAGGAGTGAAGATGACCAGTGGGACCTTGAGGAGAGGCCATCCACTGGACTCGCGAGAATGGTGAGTAATATGATGTTATAAACAATAACTAAAAGCGATGTGAAGCATTCCGTAGCGCCACGCAAAATGAATACATACCTATTCAAGACATTTTAGTCCTCACATAAAACAACATAGGTATGGTATCATACCACGGATTTCACGTACTGACGGGATGTCCTTGTTGCTATTCATGTATATATACGAGTACTACTATTAAACTACAATAGTATCACAATAACGTTACATTACGTTACGTCGGGTATAATCATGTAATATATAAATAATAAAATCTAGGTAATAATGACGAGGTTTTGATTTAAGATAACTATAAAAGTTTGTAGTTGCATATTTTTATTTCCGTTACACTCTGCTGACGTCACTAGTCAAGATTGTACAGATTATATGAGTTCAATGCAGCGACTACAAGATTAATATCTTAAAATTAAGTTATTCTTTGTCAACAGGTGACACGTAATCATTTGCTGAACTCTTCGAACTACTCGCTAAGTTCATTGTTCAGTGTGGGCTCTGTAGGGGGCTCGGTTGCTGGATCTGTGGCCAGCCTCCAAGGTTCCACCAGGTATGTAATTGTCAATATGAAACTGTGCTCATATATCATAAACTCAAACTTGGCTACAATTTATTTAAAAAAAAACGTGACTACTAGAGTTGTCTTTATATTATAAAAACTATTTATTGAAATTAAAGTTCGTCTACATTTGAATACCGTGTGTAAAGTTTTTATGTACCCTTTTAAAATAATTCAACAAATTACAACCAGTAATTACAACTGTATACTCCTATAAAAATAGTAATAATGTTCCCAGATCAATATAAACGTATAGGTATAATCATTAATATGAATGTTACGTTGTACCTTAATAGTATTTTAGAACCATCAGAAACTATCTGTTTGTTCGGCTACGGATGATACCTAGAAAAATATATTTTATATGATTTTTTTCTGCTATGCAGATTTAGTTCACTGATCTTTTTCTATGTACTATTTAAAACATAATAACAATTTCTAATTTTTAATTAATAATAATACTAGATCCAGTGTCCACGGACCTCGCAAAAAGCAACCGTCTTGGCAGGGCCCGCCGTGTCTCACCTCATTGTATCAAATGTTAATAGCACCATTTGAAGATTTGCTACCGACGTCATGCAACAATAATCATGGTAAGTAATCTATACATATGAATAAAATTGGAGTGTCTGTTTGTAATATTGATAGAACTGTTTTTTTTACAGTAAAAAATATATTTTTTTACCATTTCTCTCTGTCTTGTTTGTTCCGGCTAATCTCTGAAATGGTTAGACCGATTTTGACGGAACTTTTATTGGTAGCTTATGTAATAAGGAGTACCTAACTTAGGCTACTTTTATTTTAGAAAAATAAAGTTAAATTCCACGCGGACGAAGTCTCGGGTGCAGCTAGTAATTAATAAAATTCACATGATTTATTTTAGTTTTGGGTTATGATCTAAATACACAAATATATATATAGGCGAACACGGCATGCAAAATAATATACAAATTTATATAACAAAAATCTTAAATTAACTGTTTTTTTATTCTGATTGTGCTTATTATTTACTACTTTGTGTGTGTGTGTATATGAAATACAGAAGATTGTTTTAATAAAATGTATTTAATAATAATATTAACTTAGAACAATTAACAAAGACCCGTCTAGTTCCAAACTAAACAAAGGTAAAGAATCTGTGCAACAAGAAAACAAAAACCGTCCACCATAATTTACATTACACATTGACGGACGTCAAAGAGTATGATATTTTGTGAAGGGGCGGGAGGGGAGCTAAATTTTGTGACGCCCTGTTTCAAAATCTGAAATACACGAAATTTCAACTATTTACGAAAATCTTGAAACTATAGCCAATACGTCTATTTTATTAGTGGATTCCAAAATAAGTGAAGTCACATTAGGAAGTGTAGGAATCGTAAAAACGTACAACGTACCTTATCTTACCTACCTTATGGTAGAGGATGAGGATTTCTAACAAAAATATCTTAGGTCTTGACTCTCGTTAAATTGTATTTTTTATTTAAACATTGTAATATTATGGCAGCGTCTCACGGTCGCCGCGGATGCGGAGGACGACGGGAGCTGGTGCTCGTGATCGAGGGTGCGCTGTACGCGTGCCCGTGGGGGGCGCTGCGCGGTGCGGGGGGCGCGGACGAGCCGCTCTGCGAGCGGTACGCGCTATTAGCCGCACCCGCACTTCGCCACCAGCGACATCAGCGCCACCTGCGCGGCCGCCCCCACCACGAACACGGTATGTATTTAATCTCCTTTAAAAAATTTGTCTATGGTCCACCTTAGTCCAGATTTTTAAAATATTCAACTCAGGTACAGCTAATGTTTGATTAGTTATAGATTGACCTTAATTTTGTTTTTTCAACCACACAACTGATATAAATACTTAGATTATTTTTGTAAATACACACATAATATTCATAGAAAACACCCAGACCAATACAAACAGTCTTAGGTACTCATCGCACCGTGCTAGGAATTGAATGCGCAATCATTGGAAGTAAAGCGGTGTACTAAACCGCTAGACCACCGAGGCCGTCTCGCCTTGATTATTAAATTAATTGCAAATACTGCTGATACAATTATCTTGGAGTCACTAGGTGCCTGTCCCATATACGTAATGCGTGTGGTGTGTGTGCGCAGGCGCTGGAGGCGCGGGCGGTGGTGCGACGGAGGCGGGTATGCGGTGCGTGGTGGTGGGCGGCGCGCGCGTGGGCGGCACGCGGTGGTTACCAGCACCCGCGCACCTCAAGGAGGCCGAGCTGGTCGCGGACATGCTGCGCGTCACGCCGCTCACGGACTACCAGGTGAGTGCTGTACTACCACTCTAGTACAATCGAAACGACTTTCTTATCCTACACCTCCTAAAAGGCCACAGCTCCTAAGGAGGTATCTTACATTTTGTGCCATTTCTACTTATTTTTAAACTTCCTTGTTTAATACACAATATTAATCAACTTAAACGGGTTTTAACACGAATAATTTTATGATAAAAAAACTTGACCACGGCTGGTACAACATAGTCGAAACGTCAAAAGAAGTACATACCTTTATTATTTATTCACCAAAAAATTAGTCGTTCAGTTCGTTAAAGAATATAAATATTTCAATTTTAACTATTAAAATATGACCAGCTATTTTTATATTGCTATCTTGTCGAGTCGTTATGACTATGACGTACATAGAAAAATTACAACACCATTTATTTAACATTTTCTTCTAGGCGTCAAAAGAAGCTGTCCTCGCACAGTTACCACAGGCTGAATGCATACATTTCGCCACTCATATCTGCTGGAAGACGCCTGCGATTGTCCTGAGTCCTGGTGAAGTGGTATGGCATATAGTTATAGCATATACACATTAGAAGAGTAAGAGGAAGGTTATTCGAATTTTGTGGAATATTAATTATTTATTGGAATATGTGGAAAATTCGAATGAGCTTTAAACACTGCGACAGTGTGTAAAACTGCTACACTATCTACATTTCAATGTTGGATGTGAATGGATTCAACAATACATATACTTTCATGAGAATAATTGTTTGAATTTATCCGAGTGTTTCAACACGACAAAATAATGTCTTTCAGTTTATAAGTTTAACAAAAACTTGTTAAAGTTAAACAACTATGTATCAATGCGTCTCTGTGGCGTTATAGCCCAAACAAATGGACCATTTTTGATACAGCGCACGAAATCGGGATGTTTCTTAGCTATTAGTGATTGAGATCTATTCAAGTTTAAAAAAAAAATATTCTATAATATATTGTAGTTGGCAAAGAGATTTCGTCTACTTTTTTTTTAGAATTTGAAATTACACAAATTTGTGTTAAAAAATAATTATGAATGAATTTAATATAGTAAAAGAAATGTTATCAGCTTTTTAATGCAATTAAAGTTAATCAATAACAATTTTATTTTATTACAAATAATAATTATTTTTCTATACAGGTTGATTCTCAAGCAAAACGGCTTTTGAACACGAGTGTTGGTAGCAGCGTAGTTGACACTTCAATTGAACATGAGGATGAAAGTATGTTTATGAAACTAGTACCTACCTATATACTCTTCTAAATTTGTGAAATGACGCTCATTTCACAAATTCAGAAGGACCACAAAACTTTTTAAATTAATTTTCCGACGCACTGGTGGAATCATAACGATGTCTGTTATTTTATTTATATCAGCTTTTTTGCCATTCCAATTATATCAAATACCCAACTATAATTATGCAAAATTCGATGTTAAAATGTGATTTTTCTTATAATATTTTTTCTGTTTAATCGTAAATTTAATGTAAATAGCATAAGTAACTGTTAGTAATAAATTTTATTAAAGAAAATCTGTATATACTAATCTTTGAAGAACGTAATTACTTGTATAATTATATTTGATTGTCATTTAATATTTAATAAATGCAAAATAATTTTTATCCAGGTGCAGAATTACCAGCCAGTAATGAAGAATTACCGCCCGCGTCAGAATACATGCTCACTGCGGCTGAAATCATGAATTTGAAAATTACTGCTAGACTCGTGAGTTTTGGATATTATAGATAATACTTTTTATTTTGAAGTTTATTCCACGGATATAAAAAATACAATATCTGGCCTGTGAATACATTTTATTGAAATGTGTAGATAGAACTAACTGACTCTTTGAGCTCATAATAAGGAATTAACCACGATGATTTTCAAGAGAGGCCACACATAGTCGTGTGTGGTGTTAACTTAAGAGAGATTTAAATGATATGGCTATATAGACTAACCATAGTAATTGCTAACACTGGATATGTCACTAGGTTCTACCGATCCCTTACTTCGCAGGTGGTGATATCATGCGCCCCATCTAGTACGTTACAAGGGTCTAATGATGAGGATGAAGCGGGTGTGGGCACGGGGGCGGGGGTGTCGCAGCTGTGCCGAGCGCTGCTGGCAGCCGGCGCACACGCGGTACTGCTGACACTGTGGCCGGCGCCTCAGGACACCGCCACCAAGATCCTCTACCGGGCGCTCTACTCCGCACTGCTGCAGGGCAGCAGACTTGCCAAGTTAGAATTATTTCTATACTGTATATTTTTAACTAGCTTACTTATAAAGCATCAAATAACTGTTGGAATATTTTACATTTATCGTACAATCTAATTTCTTAATAAAAAAAACAGTGCAATATATACTGTAAAACTACAATGGGGTTGTGCCCCCCCCCCCGAAATAAAAATTGTTATTGATAAATATTATCTATTATAGCATATTTATCCTTACACTAGATTTATTTTGTAATAAGAAGGTACATGTCTACAATCGACAGATTTTTGCGCACTATCTATTCTGATGATTTTATATTTCCGTCTTGTGCTTAAAAAAACTGTAATAACATTATTGTATTGTAGCTGCACTACAAGCCACCACAATATAATCACACTATTGTGTACTTGTGTGCAGAGCGCTGGGCGACGCGATGCAGACGGTGCGGCACACGAAGCACTTCGCGCACCCGGCACACTGGTGCGGGCTGTTGCTGCTCGGCGCCAATGTGCGTCTTAGCAACAAAGTCGCGCTCATGGGGCAAGCGCTCTGCGAGCTGCTCGCCGCGCCAGATAACTGCCGGTCAGTAACTACACCACACCACAACGGAATAGATGCAATTGCTGCCAACGCACACATTATTTCTATGTTCTTCCTTTCTATTCTCTATCTCTTACTAAAATACTCCTTACAAAACAGGCTATTCGGCAGCCGAAATATATGAGACTAAGGTGCCCACGCAGACCATTTTTTACAAAGTCTACTTTGTTAAAACAAATTCAGTAAAACGGTACCAGTATTGTTAACTATTCTATGAATTAATCTAATTCAATATATGTACAATATTTCTTTTTTTATTGAATTTGTTCTGTATACAATAAAGTTGTATCTGAACTCATTTTGGTGATTTTTTTACAGTGACGCCTTACGAGTATGTCTACATTTAGTAGAGAAGTCACTACAGAGGATCGTGAGAGGTCAGAAGAATGCAATGTACACGACACTGAAAAGCATAGAGAATAAAGCTAACAACGCAACGGGTTGGAAAGAACTACTCATGAGCGTTGGATTCAGGTCAGATAAAGAACAGAATTATATATGGAATAAGAAATTAAATTTTCTATTCACACTGTATGACTTGATATGACCTTCTTTTCTTTATGATATCTAGCTATATAGTATTTTTTCATATTTTCATATTTTTTCAACAGATTCGAGCCCGCCGCCAATGGAATCCCTTCAAGCGTGTTTTTCCCTCAAAGTGATCCAGAAGAAAGATTAACACAATGCTCTGCGAGTCTCCAAGCTTTGCTTGGTAATATCTTTAATTTATTTAAATCTACTGACCACGATTCCCAATTTCGCCTTTTATACAATAGTATAAAAGGCGAATACTATAGAATAATTATAGCGCCTTAAATCTGTAATTAAAAAATATAACTGACTCTTTTTCCAGGATTGACTCCTACAACATTGCAAGCACTTTCGAAACTGATTGCAAATGGTGACGTAGCCGATGACATCATTGGCGTCATTCGCTCCGTCATCTCGCAGTTTTCCGTCAAGAACACTGATAATGACACAATCGAAGTCGCCGTTAACGTCAGGTCGCTATTTCATACTCGTTATTCATTTTATGACATAAACACACCAAAATAAGTTAACAATGTTAACATACTTACTTTTAAATAAAGAAGTATAATCTGGCTTTCATCAGTTCTTGTTAATTCGTTATTTGAATCTACAGATAGAACTGGACGGTACGTATACAAAAAACTTTACTTAAGTAAATGACTAATATATTCTAGATAAATAAATTACATTTGAATTAGAATACTTATATACGACTTGTAACATTGAAACCCTTAATAAATTTTGTTGTCATTGATTGTTTTCCATACTGGAAATAGGAACATACACAATGATGTTACACTTTTACATTTTCATTAGAGCGAGATTAGGGGATAAAGAATATAACCTTGTTGTAAATAGAAAGAAACATTAAAATAGAACCAAGCCACTTTTACTCTGTGTGATAATCCTCCTTCATCCTAACAAACTACAGGATACAATGTAACCTTTTATAAAACTTTATTGTCACTAGGTTGTGGCGAGTGAACGGCTGCCACGAACTTCTAGCATCACTTGGCTTTGACTTGGCAGAAGTTGGTCAAGATGAGGTGACTCTGCGTACTGGAAAGTCTGCCAACAGAAGACATATCCAATTTGTACTGCAAGCTTTACTGGCTCTATTTGGTATGTATATTTTTTACAATGCAAAGATCTTATTGTTAATACATAAATCATATATTGAAAACTGAAATCCTATTGACATTAACCAGAAAGGAAATTAGGATAATATTGACGAAATAATAAAAAGCCCGTCTTCAACGATTTGTATAACAAAAAAAGTGACAATCTTGTCATTCTTCAATCTATCAATGAAAGAAAAAAAGACTCTACTTTGACATGAATATAAACTTAGTCGTATATATTATATTATGTATATAAATATGAAGTTGATTGAAAGCTTCTCGTAACTATAGAAGGCAACTACAACATTATATTATTAACCGGACATGACCTTTCGGGTTCTTACTAACAATTTATTAACTTTTTTTTAAATCATTTAATAATTTTGATTTATTTCATTTTTATGTCGATATCATACAGATACCCAGGAAGCACCGCGTAGTCTTAGCTTAGAATCCAGTTCAAGTATCGAATCGCTGGCTTCTCTCGATGATGGTGATCTCGAGCCTCACTCTGATGGAGAGCCTCCACCAAGACAGCATAGACGTGAGTAGTCTTATAGACTAGTACTATTTCATTTTAATATTTGTAGAAAAGAAATAGAAACTAATGAATATATTTTTTTCTTTTGCAGAAGACAGTGTAACATCAGTACCACCCCCACCCCTTCCACTGGGGTCCTGTGGAGGTGCCTTTACGATGTATGTCCGAGGATCAGCACCCACGAACGCGGAAGTCGGCCGCGGTGAACCAGATGGCAGAACCGCTCCCCCTCCTGCGCCACAACCTCCCAGGTATAGGGGTGAAAGTGACGCCGCATTTACTCCGTCACCGCCCGCGGCACCGTCCACAGCTTCCGCGCCACCTCGTGATGTTTCTCTAGCATTAGCACACCAAACTAAAATACGAACATTATACACACGACGGCCACCGTCTGATGATTCAGACTGGGAGAGTTCAGGCCACGACACCGTCTTACGAAGACGTCCCGATCATGCACACGCGAGGTATTTAGACGCGTTCTATGATCTGGCATCAAGCCAGCCTAGAAGGACAGAAGAGGAAAAGAATGATCAAGTTTTGAACCAGCCTTCGACATCCAAACGTGTACCGAGACCCAAAATGGGCACAAGTAGTCGAGATTCGATGGCTCAAGTGCGACACATGAGCGGGGAACTTACTCCAACTATATCAGAGGTATACCATGAGAGGAATATTGGTTTAGGTTTAGCTCCTCCGCTCGCGGAGTTACTTTTAGCAGAAGATTCAAAAACAGAAATGAGAGCGGCCAGCTCGAGTGAGAACCTTCTTCTACAAAATTTAGAGAAATTGGGACTATTAGGAGACACGAGTGAAACAGAGGAAAGGTGGTGTACTACCAACACATCCCGACCTTGGTTGTCGGCTCCACCTCTTGAAACAGATGTACAGGGTTCAGACCTCACGACCGCAGAAATAATCGAGAGACAGGCCAAATATAAGAAAGACATCGAACCAAAGAGATTAGAAGAAAATGTATACGAACTTAAACCTAAAGAGGAAACTCCAGGTCCGAGCGGAATAGAGAAGTCTTCAGTTTCACCATTCTCGGAAATGTCCCGTAGAGACGAAGGTGATGGTAGGAGCATTGCTGATTCGCACTCTTCTTATAAGGCACTGGTATTAAGTCCACGAGCGCCGTATCTGCCCGAAGAGGGTGAGGCGCCACTGAACGCGACTGTAGAGGGTGGGAAGACACATCCGCGCCCGCGTCGACCTCCAGTACCGAGGACCCGTCCTGCTTACACTACACTTGATTTTCCACCGAATAAATAAAAATAATATAAATAGATAAGAATGAAATGTATGAAAGATGTGAATAACAGTTTTAGAACGAATATAATGTCTATGGAAAGGTATGGAAACTAAGGCAATTCTAGATAGGTATTATGATTGTATATAAATCAGAGTTTTGATTCAAAAGTGTATAATTTTGGCTATGATTACATACATACATACATACATATTCCTACATTTTTTACATTTGTACTTTTTAATTGCCAGCGTACGTACTCAATTAATTGTATATGATATGAATATAAATATTTTATAGTCAATTAATATTACCTAGGCGTTAAATAATTATTTTACGTGCTATTTATTTGTGATTATAAAAATTTAAGATAATTTTTAAGTATATTACTTGTACATTCATTCATGCTGTTTTTATAATTTGTATGACTTAATTCTTGCCATTGTTTGTACTTTTATATTGACATTGTAAAAACCTTAAATTAAATATTTAAAATAAATTATGTTTTATTTATCTCCAAATATCAAATTATTAACCGTTGTTAAGAAGAAAATGTGTTAAGGTTCAACACAATATACAATATTAATTAACCATTTTATTAAGTTTATCCGAGATTTTATTCTATAACAGTACCAAAAATCAAGTAAAAATAATTATGAAAAAACATATAATTTTCATATCGTTTGTATGTGTGCATACAGCACATACATATTCTGTTACAAAGCATTTGCGTTTAGATATTATTAATTCCCTCTCCGCAATGACGACAGCTTACAGAAAGGAATAAATCTATAAAATTAAATGTAAAATATATATAAATAATTTTCAATGTTTTCTAAAAATTAAAACATCGGGTTTCTGGTGTAGGTACTAAAACACCATTTATATTTTGTTGTTGTCGTTATTGTTGCTTAATATATCTACAATAAACAATTAGTATCCACACATTATGTCAAAATGACGTAATTTCAAATTACAATGTAATTTGAAATTACGTCATTATTGTTACAATGAACGCATTTTATGACCATACAACCTCTCATTTTAAATTCCATACAGACTTAAGTTACGTACTACACAAAATATCTGATGGTTACAAGTACGACGGTCAATGTTAACACTGTAAGTAGATAGTAAGTACATGTCTGTATGTACATTACTAAATTTGTTTAATTTTAAATTAACTTATGCAATTTCCGTTTTCAAATGTAAAATCTATCAAATCAAGATCAATGTATAGGCTATGTCTTGACTATTGTACTGTCAAAACAGACATGCAAACTATATCGTTAAAATATCATTATTTGAGCAAATTCATTTTTCTCTATTTACACAATAAGTATTTCATTTAACCACATTGATCTGAGAGACGGCCGTACTATCGTCTATCAAATACAGTCAATGAAAATTCAACATTCCAATGCTTACTTTAGCACTTAGATTCAAATACCCAAATCCCTATTAACAAAGCGTGACCCTGATATGCTATGGACATGTGGTATAAATATTAACAAATATTTGTATTTGCCATCCCGTATCGGTATCGTTTAGTGCACATCAGAACATTCAAGTAACGTAGCGTTAAATTCAGTATTAAATATAAAGTAGTAATGCCTACTATGAACACATATACTGTGTATATGTTATTAAAAAACTTGTTTTTTTTTTTATACCACTTAGGTGGCAAACAAGCATACGGTCCATTTGATGGTAAACGGTTACCGTAGCCTATGGACGCCTGAAACACCAGGGGTGTGACATACGCGTTGCCGACCCTTAAGAAACCTTAATATACCTTTCTTGAAAAACCCCATGCTGTAGTCTCTCGAGAAAACCTCGGCAGGTAGTTCATTCCACAATCTAAGTGTACGCGGGAGGAAGCTCCTCTGAAACCGCACTGTCCGAGACCACTTAGGTTCCAGCGTGTGGGGATGAATTCCCTGTCGATGGCGAGCGGTGCGATGCTAAAAGGTAGCCGTAGGCATCATGTCAAACAATTCATCAGAACACAGTCCGTTGTATATTTGGTAGAACACACGAAGCGATGCGAAGTCTCGCCTCAAGCTAAGTGGTGGTGGATACCGTTAGAGAGATTGGGATCATCGACAATTCTCATAGCACGTCTCTGAACCGAGTCAAAAGGACCGAGCTGGTATTCAGGTGCTCCTGCCCAAAGATGAGAGCAGTACTCCATGTGCGGCCGAACTTGCGACTTATACAATAGAAGTCTCTGGTTCGCAGTGAAGTACCGCCTCGCTCTTTCAGCACACCGAGCTTTTTGGACGCCAAGGTGACTACGGAACTCAACTGTGCTAGAGATGTCGACACCGAAAATCCCAATGCTCTTAGAGATGGTAATGGACGTGTTCTGGAATTGCGGACCCACAGCAAAAGGGGTTTTCTTAGCGGTGAACGCGCAGACTTGTGTCTTGGTAGGGTTGCATTGAACTAAGTTCAATCGCCCCCAATCGGAGACTCTGGTGAGAGTACTCCCGATTTCAGACACAAGCTGTTCGCGGTTTGACTCCACAACGGAAAGAGGAATGTTCGCACGGCCCGTGTAAGATGCGTCCCCAGTACTGTCATCCGCATAGCAATGAATGTCAACCGTAGTTAACAAATCATTAATATGCAGCAAAAACAGTATCGGGGAGAGAACAGAGTCTTGCGGGACGCCAGCGTTAATGTCCATGCTATCGGAGCAACTACCGTCGACCACGGTTTTGATGCATCTGCCAGACAAAAAACTAGCGACCCATTTGCATAATCCCTCTGGTATTCCGTATGAGGGCAATTTCGATAGAAGACCTTGATGCCAAACCCGATCGAATGCCTTCGCCATATCAAAGCTGACTGCCAACGCCTCACCTTTGCTCTCGATGGCAAGAGCCCAGCGGTGTGTGAGATACACTAAAAGATCACCAGTTGAGCGATTATGGCGAAAGCCATATTGACGATCGCTCAATAAATCGTGATCTTCTAGGTATCTGAGGAGCTGTGTATTAATTACAAGCTCCATCTCCTTGGAGAGCAAAGATGCGATAGCGATAGGCCTGTAGTTCGATGGGTTTGACCTGTCGCCCTTTTTTGGCACAGGGTGCAAAAGGGTGGTCTTCCATGACGACGGAAATTGCCCAGAGGAGTATGAAAGCGCGAAGAGGCGCGTGAGTACGGGACACAACTCAGGAGCACACTTCTTTAGCACCAATGCCGGTATGCCGTCTGGCCCGTTCGACTTGTTGACGTCGAGAGACAGCAACTCTCGCCGGACACTCCGTTGTGTTGCGGATATTTCCGGCATAGAGCTACCACACCATGGGATGGTAGTAGGTATGGTGTCCCCAGCGTCTAAAGTCGAATTTGAGGCAAAAAGAGCGCACAACAAATCGGCCTTCTCTTTTGCACTATGTGCCAAGTTATGATCCGGCTTCCGTAGTGGTGGTAAGGACGACTGACTAAAGTTACCTTCGGCAGCCTTAGCAAGGGACCAAAAGGATGACGGATGACTTCCAGAAGGATGACGGGCTAGTCGCTCCCCAATTTTGCTGACGAAATCTAATTTGGCTCTAGCAATTATTCTCTTACTATACCTGGATGCAGCATTTAAATTCCGCCTCGCATCAGATACGCCAACATCCCTGTTGGAACGAGCCGTGGTCCAAGCCTGATAAGCAGTTTCTTTAGCCTGTCTGGCTTCTCTGCATGACCTATTAAACCATGGTCGCTTTTTCGCCCCTGAAGCAACAAGCAGATTTGGAATGAAACATTCCATACCCGCAAGTATGACTTCAGTAACGGCGGCTGTACAGGTATCGACGTCTTCTGATGCAAAGCAGTGCTGCCTCCATGGGTACGACGCGTAAAATTCTCGCAATCTGTCCCAATCTGCTGACTTATAATGCCACATGCGACGTCGACCAGGTGTTCGGTGTGTGGCAGGTTGTGTGCACTGTACTTGGGATCGAATAAGACAGTGATCCGAAGAACCAAGAGGCGCGTCCACGGTGACTGAATATTCGTCCGGACCGGTAGTCAGCAGAAGGTCCAGTAAGGAGCTCGTATGGGTCTCGATATCTGGTATTCTCGTTGGAGAATAAACCAGTTGTGAGAATCCATAGGCCAGGGCAAACTCGTGAGCAGTTCTCCCCGCATGGTCAGTGATTCGAGAACAGAGCCACTCGGTGTGATGGGCATTAAAGTCTCCAAGTATCACTAAATTCGCGGAGGGATATTGCTCGAGAACTTTATCAGACGTGATTTAAAGGTGCTCAAACAGACGAGTCGTGTCCTCGTCACCGCTATGAGACCTGTATAGGCACGCGTAGATCCTCCCGGACATACAAACATACCCCAGCTCGACGCAAGAAATTTGTGCTCAAGTGTATACCCGGGATACGTAAGGTACGAAGTATCAGCCGGACAGGATATCTGTGTCTCCGTAAGGAACAGAAGTGTCGGCTTGGCGGTCTCGAGATGATGGTGGACCGCATTGATGTTTCCGTGTAGTCCCCTGATGTTACAGAAATCCATATTAATAGTGGATAGGGTTGCCGCTGATTTACTGCGATTCCTTTTATTTTTTCTAGCCATTTGGATATTATTTTTTTAAGGTTGAAGGGGAATGATCGCGTCGGTATTAGAAAGGACAAAGGATGTGTCAATGCACCCCAGTATTGCACAGGTTTGGCAATTTGGTGGCACAGCGGCCGGAAGGCCCCCGGTCCCCCCACTGGTGTAGCAGCCGGGTCCACTCCGGTCTCCTTCTCCGGCACGACTACTACACCAGGCATTATGCGCAGGCGGTGGTTCAGCCTCCCAGGGCGGAGATTAAGTAATCCCTGGGTTCGGGAACCCAACAACCTGCGGGCGGCCAGCGGTTAGCCGTTTCACCGGGTCTCCCTGAACGCTGCGCCACCACGTCGCGCCTATGCCATCCCGTGGCACTGTTGAACACACAGGTCCTCCAATACCAGCACAACCAATCCCCACGGGGCTCTGGTCACCTTACACACCACAGGAACACAGTGCTGTTGCAAGTACAGCACTATTTGGCTGTGGTTTTCTGCTTGGTGGAGGTACTACGCCAGTTCGGGCCGCCCCAAGTCGAGCAAGATGTATCAAAATACATCAAGCTGTGCCTTCCCTTCTTTTCTTCTTTTCTTTGTTTGCGTACAACAGTTCAATTATTCTCCAAATATTTAGTCTTAATAATATAATATCTCAGGACAATTCACACAGCGCCATCTAGTCCCAAGCTAAGCCGAGCTTGTGCTATGGGTACTAGACAACTGATATAAATACATGGATATTTTAATTTTTTGTGAATTAATACATAATATACATAGAAAACACCCAAACTGATACCAACAATCATACTCATGAATACAAATGTTTGTACAGTGCAAGGAATCGAACCCGCGACCATCGGATAGTAAAGCGGTATGCTAAAACACTAGACTACCG